AATTTCTGATCTGACGGGATGGAGAGATGATGCAGGACTCTGACACATCTTTTCTATACATCTGCCTCTGCACAGAATTAAGCTTCCTTTGTTTTTTTTAGTCATTTAAAATAATGAAGGGCTTCGTTAGATTAGGAATGCAGTGATGCAGGAGAAAGACTTAGATGAATCTGACTGAACAACAGATAGGGTCCATTTTAGAGCCTACTCAATTATTGCAAGGGCATTGAAGAACTTGCATTATCACAACATTGTCCAGCTGAATTTCTGGAGTGATTATGTGGCAAATAAGAAAAACATTTTATACCATATGACAGAATATTAAGGACCAACACATTTTGTAACCCATTGTAATGAAATGGCAAGTACTTGGCTGATAAAGTTTGCTCAAATCCATTCTCTCTGGAGTCCAGATTGCGAGTGCATGATGACTGAGATAGCTGCTGGTCTAGTTCTCTATAGGTTTCATTTGTTTTTCAGCCTGAGAATGCGAACAAGTAGCTTGGAGAGGTGAAGCTAATTTTATATATACAGTATATATACACACACTGTATGACATCTTAAAAACAAACCATGATTTGATCTGACCATTCTACATCTTTACTTGTATGTTAACCTTGTATTTTAAAGTATGGGCTTAGAATGAATGATGGCTTTCTTTAACGATGATGATTGTATCCATCTCAGGTTTGGAGAAAGAATGGTTACTAGGCTATGTCAGATGAGTTGCAACTACAATAGGCCCATTGAATCAGTGGGGATTTGGTGAGTCAACTCCTCCATACTTCCTTTGATTCAAATGGGGCCTATTCTACCTGTGACTTGTCATGCTGAACTAGAGTAGGCCCATTTAAATCAATGAAATTTATGGAGGAACTGTCTTGCAAAACCCTCCTGATTTAATGGGCCTATTTTATTTGCACTTTATTATGCTAAGCAGCAAGATTTCAGCCTGTGTTGTTCATCTGGCCTTTCCCCCCTCTGTACTTCTTAATATCTATGTGAAACTGCTTGGAAAAAGCATCCCAACTATGGTAGTTGGGTCTCAGCACTATTCTAATGTTGCTACCCATTCTCTCTGCCATTTACAATGCAAGTAAAAAAGACTATGGACATCCTGAACCTGTCTTGATATAGGAATAGAAGATATGTGGACAAATGAACTGCTGGATCACTCAGTGTCTTAATAATCTGGCTGAGGAGCCAGAGGTTAGAAGTTCAGTTCCCCACTGTGCCTCGAGAGGGGCTAGACCCAATGATTCATAGGGTCCCTTTCCAGCTCTGAAGTTCAAAAGTTCAAAGGTTATAAACTGAGGATCAGTGCCACAAAAACAGAGACTCTTGTTCAGAAGACAAGCCAATCTGGCATTGAAATTACAATCTGTTCTAGATGGAACTGCACACCTTTTGAAATATCAGTTTCACGGTTTAGGAATTCAATCAGTATTGCTTCTAGAGCAGTGGTTCCCAAACTTGGATCCCCAGATCTTCTTGGACTACAACTCCCAGAAATCCTGGCCTGCACAGCTAGTGATGAAGGTGTCTGGGAGATTTAGTCTAAGAACATCTGGGCATCCAGAGTTGGAAATTACTGCTTTAGAGCAGTGGTCCCTAACCTTGGGCCTCCAGAAGTTCTTGGACTACAACTCCCAGAAGCCTTCACCACCATCTCTGCTGGCCAGGATTTCTGGGAGTTGAAGTCCAAGAACATCTGGAGGCCCAAAGTTGGGGACCACTGCTCTAGAGGGTCACACATCTACAGTGGTCTTGAATGGCTTGATGCAAGTTCAGCTGGTGCATCAGCTGTGTCATTCTCCTGGAGAATCCATTCTTCAACCACTTCTCATTTCAATTAGTGTAATGCATTCTAGGTGGAACTTCCTCTGAAAACCTGTAATCACAACAGCAAAAAGTGGCAAGCATTTACATGGTATGGTTGCTGTATGTTCTATAAAATACACAGTGCTGGTACTATAACAGCAGCACCACTTGCATCATTTTCATCACAGCCCAATTCAAGGTGCTGATTCTCATGTATAACCCTCAGAAAAGCTCAGAGGCCCTCCGTGAATCTTATTTTTGAAGGTTATATTGGCTTCACATTTGTCCTGATTTACACAGGCATAAACACTGCTGTATTCTAATTTTTCTGTGTGTTGGCTTGGCTTTAAACGTTTCTCTATTTTGCTTTTAATCATTTATTTTGGACAAACACTATTGTATTGCTGCTTTTCAATAGCACATTACTGTGAGGGCCTTGATGGGCAGAAAGGAGCCTATACAGTATATCTATGAAAGATAAGGCTACTATTGCTTCCAGTTATGATGGCTATATTTTATCTCCAGTATCTGAGGTGTTAAGCCTCTCAGTACAAGTTGCTAAGGAACGTGGGGTGGGGGATATTATTGTGAGTTTCCCATAGTCATCGAGTTGATAAGAATAGGAACAAAATGCTATGTGAGACATGTCTCAACTCACCAACACCAGATTTGTCAGGTCACACATAAACAGTGGGGCAGGCAGGCAGACAGACAGAACTGTTTTATTTTGCCTCACTTCACAAATTCATTGGCTTGGTTTTTTTTTTTTTAATTATTTACTGGTCTCTTTCATGCAAATCGCTCAAGAGCAGTTTACATGCCCCATAAAAGGAAAAATCCAAAGATGGACAAGCTGGTATCTTCCAGATGTTTTGAACTATAACTTCCATAAACTCCAGCCAGCATGACTAATGGTATGGGATTATTGAAGCTGTTGTCCAGAATAATTTGGGGGCACCAGATTTCCTTCCACAACAAAACAGTATTAAAACAAAAAGCAGGGAACAGCAAGCTAACAGCAATAACCCACAAAGCAAAACAGTAACAGAAAAGCTCTAAGCAGCTGATATTATAAAAACCTCTTTCAAAAAATAATACTGGAAGGCAGTTACTATACCCTAAACTTAGCAGAATCCTCCATATGTGTTTGGTTTCTTGCTAATGATGAAAATTAGCAACCTGATTCAAAACTAAAAATATTGTGCTAACAGAAAATTCCCTAAAGAAAAAAAAATCCATGCAATCCATTTATTTATTTATTTATTTATTTATTTATTTATTTATTTATTTATTTCATTTCATTTCATTTCATTTCATTTCATTTCATTTCTACCCCGCCTATCTAGTCAATTGTGACCACTCTAGGCAGCTTCTTCTTCTACAGATGTCAAAAAAATGAGATTACATTCACAGAAATAAATAAGTTTTTTTAAAAAACCCCTCAAGCTCTGACTTTTGCATGACTACAACAGAGTTTACATGGAAAAGCTATGTTTTTTAATGTGGTCTCATCCTGCACAATGTTGCTATAGTGTTTATAGGCCTCTTTCCTCAAGCTGGACAGATCTCATAATTTCTTATCACGCAATTATCACTTGACAATAATCAGGTTTGCACAACCCACATTAACTCTTGATCCTTGGCTGCTGGACTTTTGTTATTTCTGAGCTGGCAGACTCTAGGTCTGCATGATCTACTTTGATTTTTCTCTAGAAGCAAGAGAGCCACCAGCTGGAGTAAAGAAAAAAATAGTGGCTCAAAAATACAGCAAATTGAGAAACAAGTTGTCTAGCAGCACAAATTCAGTCCTAGGTTTTCAATATCAGAATAAAAGTCTGTACACAGATCCTTTCACACACATCTATTCTTCTTCCACTGTCTGCCTTCTTGAGCAACATAATGTTGAGCTGAAAAGGGCATTTTCCAGTCTCGGTGCTGTTCGATCATTGGGAGTTGGATGTTTACTGTAAATTACCTAAATTACGTACTGTCCTCTGAAGATGCTGGCCACAGAGACTGGCGAAACGTTAGGAAGAACAATCTCCAGAACACGGCCAAAGAGCCCGAAAAACCCACAACAACCAATAGCTTTTGCTCCTTGTTTAACTGGGCAGAAGCAATGTTTTGAGATCTATCCTGTTTCCCCAAAAATAAGCCATACCCCAAAAATAAGCCCAGGTTAAATGAAACCCTGCCCTCCACCATTGTGCAGCAACCAGAAGATGACATGGCTATATTTGACTAAATGTATAGTAGAAGGTTATAGATGAAAAAAATCCCCTGAAAATAAGCCCTAATATGTTTTTAGAGCAAAAATTAAATATAAGACCCTGTCTTATTTTCAGGGAAAGGATAGATTGTTTTAAGCAGAAACACAAATGGTCAAGGTCTCTCCTCCCCTCCCCCGGGCTATCAGGGAGCTATATACCATAACTACATGCCAGTTTGGACAGTCAGTTTCCAGCTGGAACACATTATATGCCACAGTAGCATCACATCACAGTGACAATATGTTTATAGTTGGGACATTCCGGTGTACTTTTTTATAGAGGAATTCTCTGATCTTCTTTCCTGCTTCACAGTCCAACTCTCACTTATTAGCTGGAAAGTTCTTTTCCAAGAGGTACAACACAGACTTCAAAGGGTGTATATGTAATACTGACACTTCAACTGGTATCCATCCATAACACCCTGAACACTTTTAAATCAAGTAAAATATTGAAGAAATTATTCAAAAAATATGTTGCTGACATTTCTTTAAATATTGATATCCTTCCCCACCCAGGTTTAAAATGGCTTAGGCAGAAGAATATAAAGGCATGCATTTTTAAACACATATTCAAGAAACGCAGAATTAAGTTCTTAAAAAAAAAAAAAACGATTTATATTCACTGACATGGAAGCAGACATGACCTTTACATAGAACTTTAGAAATGCTCAGTAGCTATGACAAATTCCAATAGAAATGAAAGAAGACTAGAAGTTTTACAAATTTATGTTGAGATGGTTGAGAGGTTTCTTTTGTGGAAAGATCTTGCACAAAAAGAACACTAGAGATAATGTCACAAAGCCTCAACATTCTAGATTTTAGCTGCACACATGAGGTGGTATAAAATGGCTGATATTATGCCATATAGAAAGCCATTAAAATGAAGATTGCACAATGCAATTTAACTCACCGAGAAGAAAGGCTTGGCTTGCCACTTTTACTACAGCTGGTATAAATTCCTGGGCCATCATCAAAGAAACTTCCAAGGGCCAGTTTCTGTCTGATAGACTCCCTCTCATTTTTTTGAGCCTTAAAAAATGCAGAAAAAAAGAATTATGATCACCCCACTGACAGCAAACCACATTCCCATCTAAACAGTTCTTTAAAGTTAATCTGCCACATAAACAGTCACAGAACAATACTTCAAGGCTAGTCCAGCACATCAACACTCAACAACAAGAGATAATCCAACAGTGCCATTAAATTCAATTTTACTTACCCTCATGGATCCTTGCATACTACACATTTGGCACTTTATCATGTTGAAAGTAAAGACCTTTTTGTCAACCAGGAGGAACACCAGGAGGCTTCAACTGTTAGCCCCAACTGAAGTATTTATTTATTTAAAATATTTTTATCCCACTTTTCTCCTAGACAGGACCCGAAGTGGCTTACATCATTAAAACACTATATTAAAGGTAAAAATAGTGAACTATTCAAATATTAAACAAATTAATAACATACAATGTTAGGTGAAGGATTACTAAAACAGATTTAGAAGCAACAAAATGCTTGTTTTAAAACCTCTCCTAGACAGTCTGTCACTAAGGAAAAGCCTCATTTAAGTCAAAAATCTTTACTTGCTTGCAGGACAGGAATGATGGGGCCAACATGGCCTCCTGTGGGAAGGAGGTCCAGAGTCTGGGAACAGCAAGGGCAAGCAGACTGAATGAATGGGACTCCTTAAATCAACACTTATTTACAGTATGTCCCATTAATTTAGTGGATCTGCTCTAGTTAAGAGTAAAAAAACTAGCCTTACCCAATAAATTTATTGACACCAGTGTCTTGCATATGACAAAGTTCTTCTAGTGATCAACATAATAACAGATGACAGATGACAGAAAGTTCTGTAAGACTCTGCAAGTATGGGCTAGTGCTAGAACTCAAATGTTGTGAGTGTGTAGCCCCAGGATTCCCTGTATATCAGATGAAGAAATGACAGCAATCCTGAGTGGAAAAGATGCAAGCTGGAGATTCCTTTCTTACAACTAGACTAGTCTTTGGCCTAAGTTCTAACTAAGTAACCTATTTTGTTTATTACAGCTGGGAAGGGATGCCAGACTTCCTGATTTGAAGCAATTACAGCCATTTCTCAGTTTAAATGACATCTACTTGCCTACTGATTTGCAACATGAACACCATTAGTAGCCCTCATTAGCGATTACATATAGACACTACAGCTAATGGAATGTTTTCCCCCATCCCTTCAAGAAAGATCCTCAGCAATGTATCACGTATCTGGCATATAGCTTTTCTGTCTCAAAAAGTGTAGAAGCAAACAAACTGCATCACGAGGGAAAAATCAATATCCTTAAAAGCACATTTGCTGAGCTTAATAAGGTGGTACATTCATTTTCACTTTACCACAAGCACTGCTATAACATAAAGAAAATCTCAGAGGACTCCCTCATTAGACTTGCCTCCCATATCCAATCTATTATATAGTACTGAAAATGTTTCCATCTGTACCACTGTTTTGTGAACCTTGAAAAATGTCTGTCTAAAGAGCAAATAAAGATTGAAAAGAAACATTCAGGTAGGAGGAACTATCACCCACACTCTCCTGGTTTTAGCAACATAAAGAAACCACAGACTAAACCAGTATTGACACAGTTCTTATTTTTTAAAGAAAACCCATCTTTCCCCCAAATAGTTTTTGAATTAAAGGAGCATAGGAAAAATGTTCATCTTATATTACACGCACATGAAGAAACAAATATTACATATCACTTTCTTCTTCTGTAAAGGGGTTCCAGGTAACAAATCTAACCCACATCTATTTTATCTCCAGAATTGCCTTGTGAGGTAGATTATGTTGAAGAGCAAAGATTTACCAACACCAGAATGATGCATGATCGACTATAACAATGAAAAATGTCTTGACTTATGTTGTAAAGAAATCTTCTCCTCTCCCCTTGCTTCCTGTTGTAAATTGTGGCCCAGAACAAAAGGTACTCCTTGTTCATGAGCCTCACAAGTAAAACTTCTTAATTTCTTTCAAGATGGTAGTTTAAGTGGAAATTGTATTAACTAATGAAGAAAAGATCAATGACATATAGGACTGTGCTCCACCACGTGTGTATGTATGTGCTGTTTAGTTGTCCAGTCAGAAATGAGAATACATGAATGATGACCTGTATGTGTGTGTTTATGTGTGGTTGGTCTTACATTTCCTGTTATAAACAATATAACTGAATTTTGTGAGAACAGGTGAGACTTTGCAGCTTAGTATGGGAAAACGTACATGTCCTTAAATCAACAAAATGTTGTACATTTGTTATACTGATGTGGTCTAATATACTGTTATAATGACGACAATTGATTCCATAACTCAGGGCACCTTAAAAAATTGTCTTTTTTTTAAACATATACCTGTAGATGTCAGGACCATATCTAAAAGAAATATAACATAAGTCTAATTCAGTTGGAAATAAAGTCTTCCAACTGAAAGTAGCTGCAACCCATGTTGTTCTTTGTGACTTATTGGGGTGTGCTCTAGATAAAGTGCCTTGTTATCCAAAGAGCTAGACATGCAACTGATTCTATACACAGTATTTCCCACTTCACACAAAGCTACCCCACACCTCATTTGTAAAGCAATGCAACTGCCTCATGTAAAAATTTGGTCTCACATACTACTTAACTTTTGTTCCTTCTATTGTCCAAAGAATAGCTTATGCTTTTGCGAAGGCTTTCACGGCCAGGATCTAATAGTTGTTGTGGGTTTTTCGGGCTCTTTGGCCATGTTCTGAAGGTTGTTCTTCCTAACGTCTCGCCAGTCTCTGTGGCTGGCATCTTCAGAGGGCAGCACTCCAGAGCACAGAGTGCTGTCCTCTGAAGATGCCAGCCACAGAGACTGACAAAACGTCAGGAAGTACAACCTTCACAACACGGCCAAAGAGCCCAAAAAACCCACAACAACCAATAGCTTATGCCCCTTGTTTAACTGGGCAGAAGCAATGTTTTGAGATCTATCTTGTTTCCACAAAAATAAGTCATACCCCAAAAATAAGCCCAGGTTAAATGAAACCCTGCCCTCCACCATTGTGCAGCAACCAGAAGATGAAATGACTGTATTTGACTAAATGTACAGTAGATGGTTGGACATGAAAAAAAATCCCCTGAAAATAAGCCCTAATACGTTTTTAGAGCAAAAATTAATATAAGACCCTGTCTTATTTTCAGGGAAACACGGTAACATGAACATGTCTTGAAAGAAGATTTTTATTTAACAGCAAGGATGACGGACAGGCAGCTCTCCAGATATTGTGGTCTTCAGCTTCCATAATCATTCTCCACTGAGTATGATGGCTAGGGATGATAGGGATGGCAGTCCAACAAGGCCTGGAGGGCCATTTGTGCCTCGTCCTTGCTTTACAGAAACCAGACGCTTCAATTTTATCGACTTATATAATGAATAGTAAACAAAGCAATATCCTACAACTGAAATTCTGCCTCAGCTAAGAGTTTTCCTCATCTACCCCCTTCCATGTCCACTGTGGAAGCTAATTCTATAATCTATAAGCTATGATGTTGAAAAACAAAAATGACGGATTTTGGTTGTCAGTAGGTTGACCCATTTGGTGGAAGGAATGCTGGAATTCTCAGTGGGTTCATAATAAAAAAAACATGCTAACCCTAATGCTAACCTCATCCCTGATTTTAATGTTAATGCTTCTGCTAACCCTTAATACACTGGAATTCCCATGAGATTAGAAAACACTTTAAACAAATCACTCAGTGCAATTTGTTTTTAAATCTGCCCGGATGAGGCAGTTCAGAAACTAATATCATATCAGCAGAAGAGACTTGATACTTCCAGTGGAGATAGGCTGGAGAAATTCTTGAAAGGCAGCTATGGAGGAGTATCTGTGGTGGAAGGGGGCAATAAGAATGACACTCTAGCTGATTCTTGTTAGTAATGTGGAGGAGGCAATGTCAATGATGTCTAAGTACTTTACAAGCCAAAAGCTATATGATGAGACAACCCACCAAAAAAGAAGAGATAATGCTCCCAGGTCAGTAAGAGTCCAATAAGCTACTGGGGAAGAGTTATTGATATGAGAACCAGTGCTCTTAATGAAGCTAACGAATCAAAACAGATGCTGATGCACAAAATTGCAAAAGGAAAATTCAAAACTATCCAGTATGTACAACTAAACATAGAAAATGAGAAGTTTGAAACATGGTAAGCTTCCGGAAATGACAAACTGAAAAGAAATGGTGTTGTTCCAAAAGTGAAGTGAAATGTAGCAGAAGCTGCTAGGGCCTATACTGCAAAATCTGACTAACGGAAGCCCATCGATGTACACCATTCAAATCTACTCTCCAGCTACAGATGCTGAATTAAAAGAAATCAAAAGCTTCTATGCAGCTGACCAGGATGAAACTGACCACACACCACAACAGGATGTCCTGATAATTATAGGTCATAGAAGAAGAAATAAAGCAAAACGGTATTGGAGGATTGGGTGTATGAGTTAGAAATTAAGCATTTTGTAATGCTAACAATGTGTTTACTGCAAATATGTTTCATGCAAGTGAACAGATGATAGTACTAACGGATGCATCAGATGGTGCAGGAATCAAATAGAGTATACAGTATGATTGGAAGCTGAAGATGAAACAGTTTTATTATGTACAGAAAACAAAACAAGGAATGAACTATGGTACAGAGCATGAATATTAACAATTAGAGTAAAAATGGGAACCATAGAACAATCATATCATAATACTATTTAAATAACATTCCTGAATGGGTTGAAGACCATGTAAAGAACAAATTTGTATTATCAAACTTAACTGACCACAGACCAGAGGAACTGTGGCTTAAACAAGAGAAAAATGCAGAGAAAAATGAAGTACAATACAAAAGAGATGCAAGAATGAAAGCTTCTTTTGACAGAGAAACAGTTGTTTTAAAAGTGAAGTGAAAACTGCTTTCAAGGCACTTGAAAAAATAAATCACAAGGGGAAGACAGCATATCACTAGTACTATCTCATGCTACACAGACTAAATATATGAC